ACATGAAGCAGGAAAGGTAGACGATGAGGCCACAGGAACATCTTTCCCTGAATCAGGTGTTGTCTCTAGCTCTACAGGAGCCCACCTATCTCAGCCCCATGACCAGGCTCCTGAAAGGACTCCCTGGTGCGGAACCCAATTGCCCTGTGCTCAGTGACCCTGGTCCAGATGGTCATGATCACCTATCAGAGAGACAGTGTAGAAATCTTCAGTGTGCAGTGGTATCAGCAGAAGCCAGGACAGGACCCTGGCTGGTCATAGATGACAATAACAAGCTTCTCTCAGGGATTCTCTGATGCTAAGACTCCAACATGGAAGACACAGCCACCCTAAACCCCACCAGGACCAGGGCCAAGGACAAGGCTGATTATTACTGTCAGGTGTGGGACAACAGTAATGCTCACAGTGACAGATGCAGACAGGGTTGTGAGACACAAACCCTTTTTCTATCTGTGTCACACTCTCCTTCAGGACCTGGAGGACTGAGGACAAAGCACAGAGGTCTGGTCCAGGGCTCCAGGTCTGAGATTCCCACATCTCTCTCCCAACAAAGTCCTCCAGGCAGCCTCTGCACCATGTGGATCAGGTGTGCCTGTGCAGGAGGTGGGATGAGGCTGTCATGTTTTCTTGCCTAGGGTACTTTTTGGGGATGAAAGATCGGGCTGGAAGGACAGAGAGATGACCATGGAGACAAGACAAGCTCAAAGTGACAAGAGGAAGTCTCACCTTTCCGTTGAATAGAAGCATTGTGGTGTTTCTGTGTGGACGCAATTTTCATTTGGAACTAAGACCTCAAGGGCAGCAGAGTATACAGTCATGGTACAAGGAGTGAAAATTTTACAGTGGGTCACCCGAATGTCAGTGAGTATGGACATTCCCAATTCTACCTCTTCATTCCTGGACCCATGAATGCTGGCTATGGGAGAAATACCATCAAATATAGGGCACATATTTAGTGCAAATATCATCTCCTGACATATCTTGCCACTGTCCCATAAGGTGCTGCATGTGACTGGACAGTAAACAAATCTACTAGAGGCCGTAAGTCCATCATTCAAGCCAGTTGTTTCGAACTGTGGGGATCATGGTAGAACGAGAATATTCCATGGGCATCAGCACACTGCAGCCCTTTTCTGATATGAAATATGAGCCTTGGACAAAAGCCACACTGGATGAGGCATTCAGTAAGTCCAAGGGTTACAGTTTGGGAAGAAACACTTCAGGAAAAGAAAGCAAGTTCCTATCCAGAGTAAAGGTCTTTTCCACTAAGGACAGAGCAATCCCCTCCATGATGGAAGAGATCTAATGTCATTCATCTGCCACGAGGCTCCTGGCTGATTCCCCAGGGAATGGTCTCATTCTGGGAACTCTATGTTGGTCCTGATCTCAGCAGATAGGTCCCACTGAAGTGTCCATATCTATATCAGTCTTATGAGTGAACAAACCTAAGGATTATCCCATTAATAACCTACCAAGGTGTGGCATAGCCACTTTAATATAGGGCCCCTGGACAAGTTCAAGGGAGGATGGACAAGAAGGCTCACCACTGTCTGCTGAATGTCACATTATCCACCTGATGATGAACATCATTTCCCTCTGAGGACACACTCTGTGGGCATTTTCATGGAACACAAATAGCTCTATGTTCATTTGGGGGTGGGGTCTACTCACATGTCTCTTCCTCAATCATCTTTCACCACTTTCCTTTTTGTGTTTCTTCCAACTCTCTAACCATCCAGCCAAACTGAGTCAGAGAACATAGGTCAGAAGTAAGCCTCTCTGTCCTTCTCTCTGTCCAGGTGAATAAAAAAATTGAAAAAATTTCCATATTCTGCAGCGGTGTCCCAGATGAGGGCTGCAGGACTACTACTGTTAATGAGCAAAGTTGGGTGCACAACACACAGGAACCTCTTAAACCAACCATGGTTTTTCCTCTGGATCAGCTGTTCATAGGATTGTCCCCACTGGGTCATAATTGTGCCAGACAGAGCAGAGACAATGCAGTATAGGTTGGGGTCCTGGCCATCAGGCCTTTTCCTCATGCAACTGGCCTGTGCCTTCAGGACATGGGGAAGCCTGATCTCAAATTTACCTCCTCTGCTGGATGATGGAGAGCTGCCATGACTGTCCAATTCCCTGGCATGGTTGATCTGAAAACACTCATTTCATGCAGGCAGCTTGATCACATAGTAACTTAGTGGCTAATAAGGAGCATAGAGTCTCTGTTAAGATTCGGTAACAAGCCAAAGCATGTGTCAGTTGGAACTTTCTAATAATAGAGATGTACAAAATGTTGGGAAGCTGCCCATATATTTCAGTTCTATGAACACTGCCATCACTGATATCAGTGTGTTCTGTCAAATGAGTCTGATTGCTAACTTGGTCCTGTAATTCATTATGGTAACAACACACACCTTATCATTGGTGATAATATGGAACTGCATGTCTCCTAAAAATGCAAAGACCCCCAAAACTACGACTTTGGCACCCAACCCAGAGTTCAGAATCTCTAGAAAATGTATGTGTTTATACAATACGTAAGGGTACATATGTACACAAATACATCTTCAACATATACACAGCAGACACAATTCATATATATATGCACAAGCACTCACAAGTATATTCATATATATGTATATCAGTATATGATAGAAAGGAGTGCGTGACAGGAATTGGATGTCATGTGGAAACACACACACACACAGGTGCACCACAAAGAAGCCACAGTGACTATCAGCTACAAACAGGCTCCAGTGTCCCACTCAATTTTCAGGGAGGTTCACATGGGGCTCCTCTTGTGACTCACCTTCCCTGGAAACATACAACAGAGAATTCTAACACATCACACCTGTCACTCAGTTTTGAACTTATGGGAAAATATCACCTTGGAACTCAACTAGCTTTGAATCGCAGACACCTAAGTTCCTCACTGTCCCTGCATCCTCAGACAAAGCAGACTCTTTCCATGGTACTGACTCCAAACACACTTCAGTTCTTGTCCATTCTTTCCATCCTGGCAGCAGCCCCACAGTCCCTCTACAGAGAAGCCTCCTCCAGCCTCTCCGCACACATGATCAGCCTGTCGTTTTGTCCGATATCACTTCATTCTCTGCACATCAACCAACACTGTCCAGGTTCTCTTATCATGTAATTAATTGATTGTTTTGTATGCATTTTAATCCCAACTGGTCACGAAGTTTTAATGAAATACATGCACATCTCAATCAGGGGCATGAACATTCAAGCATCTATTTTCCTGCAGCCAGAAGTAAGTCTGAAGACAGATGTTGGTTCTCCAGGTACTACCAGTCCTGTGAGGTACCAAATCCTCTCACTGTCTCTCCCACCACCACGACTATGGAGGCTTTGTTTTACCTTGTTATTGACAACAGACATCGGGATGGCTGCTGCAGCTCTAGCTATGACTCATGAGTACAAGAGAAAGAGCCCTGCATAAATCTAGTCTCTTTCATTCACAGACAAAAGTCCCCATAAAGATTCCCAGCATAATGACACATCGATGAGATAGCTCTGGGACACAGAGTCACTGTTGACCTAGACATACCTAAGAATAGCAATAGTGGGGCTTCTCAATGATTATAGAAGACAAGATGAAGGTAGACGGGGTTGGGTGATGGTGTGCTGATTCACCAAAGCAACTGTGTCCCCAGTGCTGTGCTGCCCAAGGCAGGAACCCAAGAAACACTTATGTCTTATTTACACTGATTTCTAGGGTGGAACCTATGGAAGACGAAGCTGGATCTGAATAAATGTTTCTGGGGTGACTGTCCTCTTGTTTCTCCCTACAAGGTTGGAGCCATCATCACACTAATTCATGCTCCAGCAGCCAGATCAAGTGAGACAGTCCCTGATTCCTGTGTTCAGCCCCCAAACCACACCCATGACCCACCACCAACCCAGAAAGATGAGCCCTGGGGCCTCAAATGGGTCCTACCTTCTCTTCATATAAACCTCTTCCAATTTTCATGGGAAATCTGACACCTCCTGCCTGTTCTTGAGGCTTTCAGGGGTCCCAAAGAGAAGAGCAAATCCTCTCCTGGGGCCATCAGTGCATGGTTCAGGGGAATCAGGATGTGAACACTGGGTCATGAACACCTGGACAAAGGAGTTCCCTGCACTTCCAGCTGCCAGTGTGGAATCGCCACTAGGAGGCAGAAGAGATCATCTGACAAACCCTCTGGGATTCCAAATGGGAGGATTGGTTACCAGGACCCAAGAGCAGAAGCTAAAGGTATAGGCTTACTACACTATCACCTTTGCTCTGATGTAAAATTTTGACTCGGAGTCTCTCATCACTATCCTGTGGAATTTGTCTTGGGCTCTAGCACACGTCCAGGACTTCATGACACTCCACCCCACCCCATTAGTGCTACACTCAGTCACTGTCAATCCTTGCTCAAGCACTGGGTCTGTCCCTGGCAGGGAGGGCACCCTGGGAATACTGAGGCACAGCATCTATGACCTGCCCCAGGAACTCTCCCTTGGCACAGACTCCTACAACAACATAAATGGCTCCCTAAAACTCCATGTGCACCTGGCAAGGGAGGGATTTTGTTCCTGTTCTGATGTTAACAATAAAACCAGGAGTAGGACACACACTGACCTATGATCCTCTAGTACCTACAGAGGAAACATTCTATGATGGGTTCAGAAAATGCAGACAGACTCCACCTCACAGCTCTGCTGTAAAGATGCCTGCCCAGAAGACAGGTCAGGACATGGACAGGCATAGATTTTGGACCCCAGACTATAGAGACACAGGATGAAGGAAAATCCCCTGGGTTCAAGGCGGGTCCTCAGGGGCTGCCCCTCCCATCTCTGTGTCTCTTGGAGCTGGGCCCATTTCTAAAACCACAAACCCAGAGCACTGGCTCATTTGCATAACCAGCAGCTGTCTTTAGCAAGGGGATAAGAGAGGCCTGGGAGGAACCTGGCCCAGCCTGAGCCTTAGGGAGAAAAATCGAGAAACCTGCACCATGGCCTGGACCCCTCTCCTCCTCGGATTCCTGGCTCACTGGGCAGGTGCTAAGGCCAGGCTCAGCCCCATCCCCGCCCCGGGTTCTGGGACACTCCTGGCCTGCATTCTGAGCTCAGAAGTGGACTGTCAGTGGGGGAGAGGGGAGACAGGATGATCAAACCCTGCTGTAGGATGACAGGCTGGTGATAAACACCCACTGTGCTCCCTGGCTCCTTGTTAGTCCCAAAGGGCTGCACCTGCCCAAAGAAATGGGGTTGGGTGCTTTTCATTTGTTCAAAGGCTCAATCTACAAGGCAGGTAGGCCCAGGACCTAAGATGACAGCAGGGTGGAAATGGCCTAAGGAATTGAAAGAGCTCAAACCAGGAAAGTGGCATACATAGGGGATGATACCCTGGCTGGAACCCCAACTCTCATCTTCTCTCTTGCAGGATCCATGGCCTCCTATGTGCTGACTCAGCCTCCCTCAATGTCAGTGAACCTGGGACAGACGGTCAGGATGACCTGTGGGGGAAACAACATTGGAAGTGAAAGTGTCTACTGGTACCAGCAGAAGCCGGGCCAGGCCTCTGTGCTGATTATCTATGGTGATAGCTAACGGCCCTCAGGGATCCCTGACTGGTTCTCAGGCACCACCTCAGGGAACATGGCCACCCTGACCATCAGCGGGGTCTGGGCCGAGGACGAGGCTGAGTATTACTGTCAGGTATGGGACAGCAATGCTGATGCTCCTCATGGTGACACACACAGATGGGGAAGTGAGACACAAACCCCTTCCCCATCTGTGTCACACTTTCCTCCAGCTTCAGGAGACCTGCACACAGAGCAGGAGCACTTCTGGCCCAGGTCCCCTCATCTGAGATCCCCACACCTCCCTCCCCATCCAGCTCTCCAGGCAGCTCTGCACAGGGGGGTCAGGAGAGCATTTACAGCTGACGGCACTAGGTTGCCTGCTTCTCTGGGCCTGGGTGTCATCTACAGACAGAGGGACTGGGTAGAAAAAAGACACAGGGAGACTTTCATCCAGTGGTCATGATCTCATCATTTCCATGTGTGGTTGTGTGCTAATGCCCTCCCAATTGAACAGTATTAGAGCCCAACATGTCCCGGCTCAGCTGAGCTCCTGAAGCCCTGGGGACATGGGTGGAGACGCTTCTACCACAGTGGGACAGGCAGGTACAGGAGACACTAAGGTGTCACCCACATCTCCGGGGCTCTCTATTCTATTCCACTGATCGTGTCTGTTTTTGTGCCAGTACAAACTGCCTGGTTGATTACATCTTTGTAATAGAGCTTGAAGTCCAGAATTGTGATGTTACAAGTTTGGTTTTCATTTTCAACATTCCCCTGGTTATTCTGGATCTTTCTAGTTCTATACAAATGTTAGGATTATTTGTTCCAGCTCTGTGAAAAATGTCAATGTATTTTGTCAGGGGCTTCAATGAATGTGTAGATTCCTCTTGGTAGCATAGACCAAGAATATGTATTCTTCCCACTCATTAACGTGGAATGTTTTTGCATTTCATTGTGTCTTTTCCCAATTTATTTCACAAGTGTCTTGTAGTTTTTAGAGTATAGATCCCTTACCTTTTTGGTTAGGTTTATTCCTAGGTATCTTATGGTTTTTGGTACTACTATGGATAGGATTGATTCCTTAATTTCCCTTTCTTCTGTCTCATTGTTCCTGTATAAATATGCAACTAATTTCCGTGCATTGATGGTATATCCTGGCACATTATTGAATTGCTGTATGAGTTCTAGCAATTTTGGAGTGGAGTCTTTGGGTTCTCCACATACGTATCATGTCATCTGCAAAGAGTGAGAATTTAACCTCTTCTTTGCCACTTTGAATGCTTTTGTTTCTTTTTGTTGTCTGATTGATGAAGCTAGGACATCTATCACTATTTTGAACAAATAGTGCTAAGAAATGACACCCCGTCACCTTCCTGAACTTAGGGAGAAAGCAGTGGTTTTCCCCATTGAGAACGATATTCATGGTGGGTTTTTTCTATATTACCTTGATGATATTGAGGTAGGTTCTCTCTATCCCTACACTGTGGAGAGTTTTAACCAAGAAAGGATGCTATACTTTGTCAAATGCTTTTTCTGCATCAATTGAGAGGATCATACAGTTCTTGTCCTTTCCCTTTTTTTATGTAGTGTATCACGTTTATTGATTTGCAAATGTAGAACCACCCTTGTATCCCTGGAATAAATCCTACCTGGTCATGGTGAAGAATCCTATTAATGCACTATTCCATCCTGTTGCCTAGTAAATTGGTGAAAAATTGGCATCCAGATTCAACAGGGATATTGGTCTGTAGTTCTTCTTCATGGGTAATTCTCCTTGTCTTATTTTGGGATCAAGGCAATGCAGACCTCATAGAATGAGTTTGGAAGTCTACCTTCTGTTTCTATATTTTGAAGCAGTTTCAGAAGAATAGGTAGTGAAACTTCCTTAAATGTTTGGTAGAATTCCCTTGGGAAGCCATCTGGTCCTGGAATCTTGTGTGTTGGGAGATTATTGGTTACTGCTTCAATTTCCTGCTTGGTTATGGCTATAGTCAAGTTTTCTATTTCTTCCTCTTTACGTTTCAGTAGTTTATGTTTCTAGGAAATTATCCATTTCTTCCAGATTGCTTAATTTGTGGCATATATGTGCTCATAATATGTTCTTAAAACTGTATTTCCTTGGTGTTGTTCATGATCTCTCCTCTTCCGTTCATGATTTTATTTATTTGGGTCCTTTCTCTTTCCTTTTTGGTAAGTCTGCCTAGGGGTATATTGATCTGCCTGATTCTTCAGAGAACCAGCTTCTAGTTTGCTTGATCTGTTCTACTGTTCTTTTCGTTTCTCTTTCAATGATTCGTAGTCTAATCTTTATTATTTCTCATCTGCTCCTTCCTTCAGGCTTTATTTGCTGTTCTTTCTCCAGATCCATTAGGTATAAATATAGCTTGTGTATTTGTGAATTTTCTACTTTCTTGCGATTATCTTGTATAACTCTGTATGTCCCTCATGGGACCACCTTTGCTGCAATTCAAAGGTTTTGAACTGTTGTGTTTTCGTATTCATTTGCTTCCATGAACTTTTTAAATAATTCTCTGATTTCCTGGTTGACCCATTCATTCTTTCATAGGCTGTTCTTTAACCTCCATGTATGTGAGTTCCTCCCAAATTTCCTCTAGAGACTGAGTTCAATGTTCAAAACACTGTAGTCTGACAAAATGCAGGGAATAATCCCAATGCTTAGGTCCTGGTTGGGGCCTGATTTGTGACCCAGAATGTGATCTTTTCTGGAGAAAGTTCCATATGCCCTTGAGAAGAATGTGTGTTATGTTGCTTTAGGATGGAATTCTCTGTATATATCTGTGAAGTACATCTGCTCCAGTATGTCATTGAAAGCCCTTGTTCCCTTGTTGATCTTCTGTTTAGATGATCTGCCCATTGCTGTGAGTGAGCAGTTAAAGTCCCCTACTATTGTTATATTATTATCAGTGTGTTTCTTTAAGTTGGTCATTAACTGGTTTATATAATAGACAATCCCCATGTTAGGAGAAAAAATATTTATAATTGTTAGGTCTTCTTGTTGGATAGACACTTTAAGGATGATATAGTGTCCCTCTTTATCCCTTGCTATAGTCTGGTTTGAAATCAAATTTGTATGATAGGAGGATTGCTACTCCAGCTTTCTTTGATGTCCATTACAGTGATAAATGTTTCTCCACTGCCTCACTTTCAATCTGGAATTGTCTTTGGTTCTAAAATGAGTCTCATATACACAGCATATGGATCAGTCTTTTTTTTTTTTATCAAATCTGATATCTAATAACTTTTGATTGGAGGATTTAGCCCATTTACATTCAGGGTAAATATTGAAAGATATGAATTTAGTGGCATCGTATTACCTTTAAAGTCACTGTTCCTGTATATTGTCTCTGTTCCTTTCTGGTCTATGTTACTTTTGGGTTCTCTCTTCACTTACAGGATCCCCTTTAATACTTCCTTCAGGGCTGGTTTTATGACGACAAATTCTTTTAGTTTCTGCTTATTCTGGAAGATCTTATCTTTCCTTCCATTCTGAATGACAACCTTGCTGGATAGAGTATTCTTGGCTGCATTTTTTCTCATTTAGTACCCTGAGTATATCCCGCCATGCTTTTCTGGCCAGCCAGGTCTCTGTGGATAGTTCTACTGCCTGTCTAATGTTTCTAGCCTCATAGGTTATGGAACTCTCATCTCAAACTGCTGTCAGGATTTTTGCTGTAACTCTGAAATTTGCAAGCTTCACTATTATAGGTTGGTGTGTTGATCTATTTTTCTTGATTTTGGGAGGTCCTCTGTGCCTCTGGAACTTGAATACCTGTTTCCTTCTCCAGATTTGGGTGCTTCCCAGCTATGATTTTCTCAACTACACCTTCTGTCCCTCTCTCCCTCTTTCTTCTTCCTCTGGGCCCCAATTATTGTAATAGTCTTCCACTTTATGGTAATGCTGATTCCTCAAGGCCTCCACTCATAACTCATGAATTGTTCTTCCCCCTTTTCCTCAGCCTCCTTATGTTCCATCATTTTGTCTTCTATGTCACTGACTCTCTTCCGCATTTAGTCCAGTTGTTAGAGTACCCATTTTCAACTGCATATCAGTTAAAACATTTTTTACTGCAGCCTGATTAGTTTTTAGTTATTTTATTTCTACACTGAGGGACTCTCTAGTGTCTTTTATGCTTTTTTTTTCAATCCCAGCTAATATCCTTGTAATCATTATTCTAAATTCTACATCTGATGTTTGATTTATATGCATATTAATTAAATATATGCCAGAGAGTACTACTTCTGATTCTTTGTTTTGATGTGAAATTCTCCTTCTCACCATTTTGTCCAGAGAAGAATACAGGATCAAGAGAACAAAATCAAAAATATCAACTATCACCCCAGCAAAATGTAAACTAAACAAACACAAAGATATCAGTAACCAAAAAAGTGAAGGGGATGGGTAGGAAAAAAGAATGGAATCTAACAGACACTAGATCCCAAAATTGAAAGGGAAGAAAAACATATATATACAAAACTAACATTGAATACAGTGAGGGAAAACCAAAAATGAAAAAAAATCTATAAAATGTAAATGTAAAATGAAAACTTAAAAAAAGACTTAAAACAATGAGTTGATAAAATAAGAATCTTGCTAAAGAGAATAGGAAAAAAGCAAGTAATTTTTTATGTGCTTAATTTTTATTTTAGTTTAGTAATAACTTGTTTTTTAATATCTTTTTCTAATTTTTTTAAAGATTTTATTTATGTATTTGACAGACAGAGATCACAAGTAGTCAGAGCAGCAGAGAGAGAGAGAGGAGGAAGCAGGCTCCCCGCTGAGCAGAGAGCCCAATGCGGGGCTCGATCCCAGGACCCTGGGATCATGACCTGAGCCGAAGGCAGAGGCTTAACCCACTGAGCCACCCAGGCGCCCTCTTTTTCTAATTTTTTAATTTTTTTATAAACATATGTATTTTTAGCCCCAGGAGTACACATCTGTGTATCACCAGGTTTACACACTTCACAGCACTCACCATAGCACATACCCTCCCCAATGTCCATAGCCCCACCACCCTCCCCTGACCCCCTTCCCCCAGCAACATTCAGTTTGTTTTGTGAGATTAAGAGTCTCTGATGGTTTCTCTCCCTCCCGATCCCATCTTCTTTCATTTATTCTTTTCCAACCCCCCAAACCCCCCACGTT